ATTTATCAAATGTTCCATTGCCGGGGTTACTTATGGACAAGGAGTTACAGATGTTGAGAGAGCTCTGGCAAGGAGGAAAGGGTCACCTCTAGAACAAGTGTCGATAGAAGATGACAATGTTGCAGAGATTGCTGAAGCAAAGCCACCTGTTAAAGGGTTTAACTTTCTAGATGAAAGGATCATGAGTGGGAATTGGGTCAATGAGCCTCATGCAAAAGTAATCCAAAACTTCTTAAGATCACTAGCTGTATGCCATACTGCAATACCTGAAGTCAATGAAGAAACTGGTGATGTTTCGTATGAAGCTGAATCACCAGACGAAGCAGCATTTGTGATTGCTGCCAGAGAACTTGGGTTTGAGTTCTTTGAAAGAACACAGACAACCATTTTACTGCGTGAACTCGATCCTCTATCTGGCCAGAAGGTTGAAAGGTTAGGTTCTTGTTATTGTATATGAAGGAATTTTTTTGGCCTGCATATGAAACTTGAGATGTTTATTGACTCAACTTGAGATGTTTATTGACTATCTTCATGTTGGCAGATCCTATAAACTATTAAATGTATTAGAGTTTAGCAGTGCAAGAAAGCGAATGTCTGTGATTGTAAGAGATGAGGACGGGAATCTACTGCTATTTTGCAAAGGAGCTGACAGGTTTGTAATCTTGTACATATCTTAAAACTTATGTGCTAAAGATTAATCCATGGTCACATGTTTTTAAGAGATAACCTACTCCCAGCTATTAGTTTCCAAATTTAGTTCTTAAGAGTTGTGCCTGTTTGTAAGGGAGAAATTATGTCTCTTCTCTTTTCTTGTCCAAATTTTATCTATGATATGGGTAGATACACGAGTATCATTTTTAATTTGTTTCAGAATCTCAAAACATTAACATGCTTGTCTTTGGTTCTCTATCGAGCAGTGTCATGTTTGAAAGACTTTCAAATGATGGAAGAGAGTTTGAAGAGAAGACTCAGGAGCACATTAATGAGTATGCTGATGCTGGTCTGAGGACGTTGATACTTGCATATCGTGAACTTGATGAGGAAGAGTACAACCAATTTAATAAAGAATTCACAGAGGCCAAGAACATAGTGAGTGCTGATCGAGAGCAGATTGTAGAAGAAATAGCAGAAAAGATTGAGAAGGATTTAATTCTTCTTGGTGCTACTGCTGTTGAAGACAAACTTCAACACGGGGTATGCTTATTAATTTATTTACTTATTTGTTTTTTTTTGTTTTTTTTTTGTTTCTGAAGCTAGAATGAAGAAACCAAGGATGTATTGCAAATACTAGTAAAAAGATGTCACTCTTTCCATGCAAGTGCTTACAGTGCCTACTAAAATTATGAGTTCAAATAATTGAAAATGAGAAAGAGCTCTTGATTGGTTTATCGTGTCATGCTCTTACGAACTTTTATGCATTTATTGGTTAGGTTCCGGAATGCATTGACAAGCTAGCGCAGGCTGGAATTAAGATCTGGGTTTTGACTGGTGATAAAATGGAGACAGCAATCAACATTGGGTAAGTTCAAAGAATATCTAGATTATTGAAATCCTATGCGCAAATAATATGATGTCATGACTTTCTTTTTCTCCTGCGGCTGCAGATTTGCTTGTAGTTTACTAAGACAAGGAATGAAACAAATCATAATTAGCTCTGAAACTCCAGAAATCAAATCACTGGAGAAGTTGGAGGATAAGTCTGCTGCTGCTGAGGTAGACCTTTAAATCTAAGCATTTAATTAAGTCTATTGGCATTGAAGTTAATATAAGGTCTCGTTGGGAACAAACACGAATGTCCATTTTTTCCATGACATGCCTAACATACTTATCTCATTCTATCAAATCTCATTCCTGTTCCCATTTCCATTCTCATTCTCGTGGACATTGCCATTTTCATTCTATAACTAAAATTGTTAGGGATCTATGCCAACTATACATTCTATTTTGTGGGCATCCTTGTAGCTTGATATGTCCTGATGAGATTTTGCTGATTCTTTAGGCAATTAAGGCAAGTGTTCTTCATCAGATACAGGAGGGAAAGGCATCGTTATCTACATCAGATATAAATTCTGAAGCATTAGCTCTGATAATTGATGGGAAATCTCTCACTTATGCATTAGAAGATGATGCAAAGGACTTGTTTCTTGAACTTGCCATTGGCTGTGCCTCTGTCATATGCTGTCGTTCATCTCCGAAACAGAAAGCACTTGTACGTTCCATAATAACTCATTTCTGCATTCACCCTTTCTTTATATATGCATTGATTCTTTCTTCTATAAGCAACAGTTAGTTAGAGGTTTTGTTGACCATGTGATGGGAAAATTTTTTATACCGAGACTTCTTGATTATTTTTTAAAAATGCAGGTCACAAAGCTAGTTAAGACCAAAACTGGTTGTACAACTCTAGCAATTGGTGATGGGGCAAATGATGTTGGAATGCTCCAGGAAGCTGACATTGGAATTGGTATCAGTGGCGTTGAAGGAATGCAGGCAAGTTGGAAATACTACCTACGTAGCTTACAGTTTTTCAGTTTGTTTTTTTCCCTTACCCTTATGACCTCTACCCTCAATTTTGTGCTGCACTTAAAATTTCAGGCCGTTATGTCGAGTGACATTGCCATTGCCCAATTTTGGTTCTTAGAGCGCTTACTTCTTGTGCATGGACATTGGTGTTACAGAAGGATCTCGTCCATGGTAATGATCTTGTCTTTTCAACTTCATTATCATAACCAAGTGTTGGCATCTCAAACTTTTGCCTTATCTGTTTTATTGCTGACATGCTTGTCTTTTTTCTGTCTGGTAGATCTGTTACTTCTTCTACAAGAACATTACTTTTGGCTTCACCCTCTTCTTCTTTGAGATATATGCATCATTCTCCGGACAACCAGCTTACAACGATTGGTTTCTATCACTGTATAATGTATTCTTCACATCACTTCCAGTGATTGCCTTAGGAGTGTTTGATCAAGATGTCTCAGCAGAATTATGTCTCAAGGTAGATCTCCATACACTTTATTGCTTGATGACATTCAGTTTTAATTAAGTTGTTTCCTTCTCATGACCTCTTGCTTCTATGAACATCAAACAGTTTCCATTGTTATACCAAGAAGGTGTGCAAAATATCCTGTTCAGCTGGACCAGAATACTCGGCTGGCAATTCAACGGGGCAGTATGCGCTACTCTGATATTCTTCTTCTGCATCAGTGCACTGGAGACTCAAGCCTTCCGAAAAGCCGGCGAAGTTGTTGGGCTAGAAATCCTCGGCGCCACCATGTACACTTGTGTAGTGTGGGTGGTAAATTGCCAAATGGCATTATCTATCAATTACTTCACTTTTATACAGCATATTTTCATCTGGGGTAGCATTCTGTTCTGGTATATATTCCTTCTGGCTTATGGAGCCATGGATCCTACCATATCCACAACTGCATATAAGGTCTTCATTGAAGCTTGTGCTCCTGCACCTTCTTACTGGCTCGTCACTTTGCTTGTTCTTGTTACCTGCCTCATTCCATATTTCGTCTGTGCTTCCATAAAGATGCGGTTTGCCCCCTCATATAATCAAATGATACAATGGATCAGTAACGATGGCCAAGTATATGATCCAGAGTACTGTAATGTGGTCCGGTCGAGATCGATACGCCACACGACCGTAGGGTTCACGGCTCGTTTTGAAGCATCCAAACGGTTTGAAGAGAAGTCTGAGAGCATTTCTTAATGGGATTTTTTTTGTGTATTATTTATGTAAAACTTAGCTTTGTATTATTTTTCAACCTTTAGCCAATTGTATATATTCAAGGCAGAGATGGGTCTTCCAGTTCGGCTTGGAAGACAGCTAACTGAAGCAACGTAGGATCTGGAGATTTTTTGTTCTTCAGAAGATCCTGTTTCTGAAAGCTACACTTGGCGAGTGATAAATTTGACTGCTTCGAAATCAGATAGAAAGCTATCGCCATTAGTGCAAGATGGTAGAAATTCTTGTATCGATCTCAATATATCGCTATTCAATCTAAATTTAAAATTTATAGCATCTACCCATTTAGTTATGTTCATGTTTCTTTGACTTCGTTCGAGGTTTCTATCTGGTGTTGAGAAATTTTAGTCTATTTGTTTTTCTCGGTAAAAAGAAGAGGCCAAAGCCCAAAAGAACATTTGGTCTCTTTATTTTGATTCATTTGTTGATGACAAATATTATGATTATAATTTATTAGTGTGGTGACGTTGATTGTATTTCCCTGGGATATTTTCTTCTTTCCTCTTCTATTTAGCTACTTGTAAGACTAGAAAATAATTTTTCAAATTTTCAAAAGAAGACAAAACATATCGTCAAATCTTTGATATAATAAGGATAACAAAAGGGATTAAATGGATCAACGGAGTGTGACTGGTACGAACTCAGGTCCTCTTTGGAAGCTTATGACAAGTTTTTCACTTTTTCCAGGATGTTTGTTTTGAGCCAAAACTTGAAGTTGAGCGAAAGTAAGAGAGTAAACAATAAAATCAATGAAGTAAACACCTTTTTTATTCAAAAAAAAAATTATAAGAGTTGGGCCACTTACCTCAACAAGGAGTAACCATGTTTTCTTATATACCAGTAAAACTACTGAAAATGCCATATGAGCTGGATTTTTTTTTTTTGGGGGGGGGGTTTAGTGAGATACTCTTGCTTCTTATTTACTTGAAACTAATTTTTATGTATAATATATAATTTAATATCTAAAAAATTTGGCTGGTTACTCGGTATCCAACCCAGGACAGATATCCGAAATTCATTTGTTTTTATGTATTCTCTCCAGTTTACACAACAGGCTGCAGAGTAATAGTAATTACTTTACCATTCTTGAAATTACTATTAGTTAAAATTGTCACCTTCTATAAATGCTCACAATTATAGTAGTTGACTCCTTTAGAACATCCCTGATTACATTAATTTGTTAGAATATAATTAAAAAATTATAAAAAGTACACATTAGGCTATATTTCGGATCAAGACGAATCTCTAAAAACTGTCCTCTATCAGGTTGAGGTTAGAATTTTATTTTCCAATTTAAAACTAATTTTTCCATAAAACACAGAACTTACAGATTTTTTTTTTTTTGGGGGGGGTGGTGTGGAGCAAATATAAAAGAAAAGGTAGAAAATTCCCCTCCACAATCTTTGAAGAAATGAATTCATATGACACAATGGGATATTATTTCAGCCTGGATGGTATGGTTACGGAGATGTAAGGCCAAAGAAATCCGAGGCAGACTTGGCCATCACAGTGGCAAACTCACTGAAGCTAATAACGCCGTCGCCGTCTTCGTCGGCATCTCTGATCATCTGAGTGAGATCTCTGTACGTGAGAGGCTGACCCATTCTGGCCATTGCTCTGGCTAACTCCGCCGCCGATATGTACCCATTACCGTCGCGATCGAAGCACTTGAAAACCTCTAGAAGCTTCTCTTGATTTACGATCACCCCTTCCTTCTTAAAGTCTGGCAGTATTGCTCTCACCAATTCATCGAACTCCACAAACCCATTGCCGTTGGAGTCCATGGTGGCTAACAGCGCGTGGATTTTCTCTCCGGTGGGCTTCAGCCCCAGCGAGCGGAGAAGCGCCGCTAGCTCTAGGAGGGTGAGGCTGCCGTCGGAGTCCATGTCAAATCGAGAAAAAACGTCCCTTAGTTGGTTCAGCTGATCAACATGGAGAACCTTAGACGACATCTCGATGTGATCTGCGGAAATATGAACCGAAAGAAACGAAATGGAAGCGAGTCGATTGGTGTGGCGTGAACGAATATGACGGACAATGATTCTGTGGCGTGTCTAAGTACTCCGAAGTAATGCATGTGCCTTCTTGGAAACTCAGGTATTAGTTTAGTTAATTTTTGTTACGTCGCATTAAATTTGCTCAGGTCAAAGGGTCGGTTGAGCTTTCTTTTGATTGGTTTATGGGGGTCAGTCTAAGATTTGAGTACTTGATTTTAATTGTTTATGAAAAAACATGACTTTTAATTCTGTACCCACTCATGTTTTGTTATAATCTTTTTATATTTTTTTAATATTTTAAATTCTTATATTTTTATTTTTTAATATATTAAATGCTTTTAAGATTTTTATATTTTGTTAATTTAAGAATTTAAAACACCAAAAAATAAAAATATAAAGATTTAAAGTATTAAAAAATATAAAAATTTATAATAAAATATAAATAAAATATAAAGATAAAAAAACTATGTTTTTTAATATTCTTGCAGAAAGTGTCTTTTCTCTTTTGTTAAGTCAGATTTCGTAGTAGTCCATGTGCTGCTCTCCACAGGCCTATGGCACAGCTAAGTTGAGGTGGCGTTGTCTCCACGAGCATATTTAATAATAAATTAATTAATTAGATATCCATAAATTTGGTTATATTATATATATATATATATATATATTTTTTTTTTTTTTGCATGCATGCATGTCTATAATGTCCTCTGCAATAGCACCAGTTACAGCAAGCCAAGGTGCGAATTTCTGTGTTCTGTAATTGGCAGACAGCCAAACACGCGTCTTGAAGGAATCAGACATTTTTTTTTTTTATATTTCTTTGATCTTATTTTTAATATATTTTATTAATATTAAAAAAATTTAAAATTTATTAACTCTGTCTTAAAATTTAATAAATTATTAATTTTATTTTTATTAAATATACATATTTTAATAAAATATTTTTTTAACTTTTAATAAAGAGTAAAATAAAAAATTTATAATAAATTTAATAATGTGATTTATGAATAAAAAAAATTTTGCCTTATAAATAAGACAAGAGGGGTACATATTAATGTCACTGGGCTTTTTCTCCCAATTATCCCCGTTAAACTCTTTTTTTATTTTTTTTGGGGTAAAAATCCCTGTTAAACTTCAAGGTGACGTCTTTGGTCTTGGGATGTCTAAATGATGAAAACGACACTCGTTTCTCCACTCTTCGTATAACGTATTAATTTGAATATCATTTAGGGCAAACTACGAATGGCTCCCGTAAAACATACTTAAACTAAGTTCTGTAAAATTTAAAAAAAATATAATTTTTTATTTATGTACTTTGTTTGTATTTTACTATAGATCCCTATACTTTTTTTTATATTTTGGGTCCCTATAATTTTATTTTTTTATATTTTATATTTCTAAATAAATAAAGTGTAGGAACTTAAAATATTAAAAAAATAAAAGTATAAAGACCCATAATACAAAAAAAAAATATAGAGATTTATAATAAAATACGAGCAAAATGTAAAAATTAAAATTTATATTTTTTCAATTCAAAAACTACAACTAAATTCCTTAAGACTTGAGTATAATTTATTATTGGGGTAAAAGAACAATATTGGGCTTTTATATACAACCATAAATTCACAATTTACACCTACAACTTCATAATTTACAAATCAAATTTCTTATTTAATTATTGATATAATATAGAGTCTTTACAAAGTTAATTATGTTTCCTTAAGCTATAATTATATGGTAAATTATGAATTTTACATCTCAATTAGATCAATTATAGCCTAAAGTAGACATAATTAACTTCATAAAGACTCCATATTATATAAAATTTTAAATAAAAAATTTAATTTGTAAATCATGAAATAATACTTGTAAATTGTAAAGTTATAATTACAAGTGAAAATCAAATTAATAGGGATAGTATTGTCCTTATATCCTAACTTTCAAATTACAACCAAGTTTCATGAGATTTGGTTATAATTTTTAAATTTTACATAACTTATTTGTAAATAAATCTATTGTACGAGAACTATTCATAATTTTTCCTATCATTTTACATTATCACCATATACTTTCTCGTGTCCTAGTTATAAAATGGTGTTTTAAATTTACATTTGATTCTAAATAAAATATGAAGATATAACAATTAATTTTTTTAATATTACCTATTTTCAACTATACTGAATTGCAATTTTTAATATGTCTTATTGTAATAATTAAATTTAGGAGTGTTTGGTTAAAGGGGAGGAGAGGAATTTTGCTCTCTCCTCTTATTTGACTTGAAAAATTGAAAGGGAATGGAGTAAAGGAAAAATTTCTCCTCCCCTTCCCTCTAATTTGGAGGGATTGAAAGGAAAGGGATAAAATTTGCCACGCCTTAACTAACATACCCTCAATGATGAATTTAAAAGATGTAAATATACTTTTTTAATATCTTAACACTAATGAAATGAGAGTAAAGTTGTCCATAGATAATTATTTTCTCTTCTTTCCTCCTGAATCAAACAAAGTAACATCTAACTCATCCCCTCACCTCCATTAAAATTCCTTCCATCATTTCCCCTCGAACTAGGTGTATACATTTTCCTACAAAATTATTCACATATATGTGTATGTATTAATAAAATTTATTTCATACATTTTATAATTTTATGTTTAAAATAGAAATATAAATGATAAAAAAATTTTTAATTTAATATAATTTTATTTGTGAAAGGTTAAGAGAGAAAATAACAAAGAGGGAATGTTAATATTAGAATAAATATGATTTATGAAACTTTATTTTTATTAAAATATCTTATATTACAGAAACGACATGTCGTAGAGCCAATAAAAAATAATTGTTTTTAGGCCAACATACAGAATTAAACTTGACGGTGAAGGTTTTGTTCAGCAACCTCACTGCCATCTTCAAGTTTACAATCTTCATTAGTGTTGTGTTTAGCAGAAGGCAAGATCTCCGACGACTTATTAACGTTCCCAACTGGAACCAGCGCAGGTATACATCGGCGACGTAAGAGCTTGAGCCAGCCAAAGCAGCCTCTGTTCTCGATGCTCTCTAAAGGGGTCAGAGGCCTAGGGTTCCACTTTCGACCCAAATAGCAGGAAAGAACGGCGAGAACAGTAAGCACAGAAATGACTGCAAGGAAAGGACCGACAGAGCCAGAGGACTTCCAAGCACTAGGGCTCGGTACAGCTTCTGCAGTAGTCATGGTCGGAATCTGAGCCTCTCCTGTACCTGCTTGCTGCTGCTGCTGCTCCGGCTGCAGAATCGAAGACGATGCCGGTGTTGCCATGGCTATAGCTAGATGCAGTGCCTGTGAATGAGTGAAATAACTAGCTTGGAGATGAAGCATATATATAAATAAAGGATCTATCTTTCTTCTTTCTTCTCTGCAAGTTGCTTAACGAGATGCGTGAGAGTGAGAATCAGGGAGAGGTTGGAGAGTGGCATATCAACGTGGAAAGGGAGAAAAAGGGAAGCACGACGAGGGGTTTCGTTCTTTTTATGTGGTTTTTACTTTACAAGTGTTTCGCATGCAAGCCTCCCTCGCGTACTGGCTTATGGCAGAAAGCAGGCTTTTCCACGCTAAATAAATTTTAAAAAGAAGCCTTCTCATAATCTCATTCCTAAAAGTGGGTCTCATCATGCATGTAAACGAGTCTTTGCTTAACTTATGACTTTATTCTCGATTCCTTAATGTGTAAACAACCTTTAACAATTGAACTTAAATCCTTTAATAGAAGTCGTCTCTAAATTTCACTCAACTTGAGAAAACGTGAGCCATTGATAGAATGATGTTACTCCCTCTTTTTTAAATTATAAAATATTTTTTTAAAGAGATTTAGGATCCTAAATTATAAAATATTTTAATTAAAAATAAGATTTATTAATAATAATTTTAAATATTATCCTTCTCATTATATTTTCTCTTTAATTCTTTTAAAAAATTATTAAATTAAGGATATTTTTAAAAATTTATATTTTTATTTAAAAAATTTATAAGGTGTATTTAAGAGTTTTATTAGTATGTGTACTTTTATTTAAAAACATTTTATAATTTAGAATGGAATGATTATATTACATGATGATGCCGCCATGCAATAAATTAAATAATGCTGTGTTTACTCATTTCGAATTACAATATAATGCATCTTTTAAAATTTTTAACTGATAAAAAAATATAAAGTATTGAATAATTTTTATTTTATTTTTTCAACTATGCCCCTATTTTATTTATTATTTTTTTTGAAAAAAATCTTATATTAAAATTTTAATTATTATTATTAAGATTTTTATATAAAATATTTAATGAGAGTATAAATAAAAAGATGATAATATTTTTAAAAAATTAAAATTTTAAATAATATTATTTATAAATTATGAATTAATTAACTATAATTTACATTATAATTCAGAAGAAGCAAGGTCCAAGCCCCTTTCCCCTCCTTTTTTTTTTTTTTTGCCGTAATGTCTTTCAATTTTCCTCCTGTGAGCGTCCAAAAGTTGTGATTTTCTGTGCCGCCGGGTGCATTGCTTTTATCAATGGTCGATAATTAGTTCAACTTCAATTTCATATGAATTTACACTTGAAACTTTCAAAAGATTTAAATCCGTGTGTTTAACCTAACACAGTTAAAAGGTTGTCCTCAAGGTATGCTGTGCAAAGAATTAATTTAAGGGAGAATGATAGATCAAATTAAATTTTAGGTGTCAAACTTCATAAATTTATAAGTTCAATTCTTAATTTTATAATTTAATTGTGATAAATTTGCAACTTTTATTTTAAATTTTAATAAGAAAAATAAATTTATTCATTTTTCAACCATATTAAAATTTGAAAAATAAATTAAAAACTCATTATAACGAAGTTGTAAAATTGAAAGCCATACTTGCAAATTCTTGAAATTTGTACTTGAGACTTAATTTAAATTGATTGATCTCTTTAAAATCTAGATGTTATTCTCCTTAATTTTAACTCTTACTATCCCCACCCCCATTTTTTGGGAATTAAGGGCCTTTTTGAGTGTAAAACTTATTCACTCAACAACATATACCAATATTCTTAATTGAAAGGAGAATTTCAGTTAAAGATTAGAAAAGATACTTAATTATTGGTAGGTCTCAAAAAATCCTAAGACTTTAGTTTAGTCCGGGAAGGGAAAAATAAAAATAATTTCAATATTAAAAATATCAAAATATCATTCACGTGTTATGCAAAATCACTTGTAAATTGTAACATCCGGAGATTTTTAATCATGATTTACTAACCTAATGAGGGTAATTAGTGAGTTAATAAGGTGTGTGACCATAAGGGCTTAACTTGGCATAATTGATGTGATTTTAGCCCTAGAAGTGGATTCGGATTGATGACGGGCCACTCAGGCAAGGAAAGAGGAGAAAAAAGTAAAGAATTGTTTTCTGTGCCACACACCACGGTGCACAGAGACAATTTAAAATGTAATGGGCTCCTCTATGCCATGCATCGCAGCGAAGGGTAGCGTGTGCCTTAACACATGATCAAAAATCAAATATCTCTAATTCATTTTCGTGTGAAAAGAATAGAAGAAGAAAAGGAAGAAAATGAAAAGCTTGATTTGGCTTTACTAAGGCACGACATTGGGTATACTTAAGACTAGATTAAAGCTCTCAAACATCCAAGGTAAGATTATAGTGTCTTCTTCTTCCTTTCTCTCCCTCATTTGTAATGATTTATGGCGGGGTTTGAGTTTGAAGATGGATTTTTGGTCCATAAGAGTATGTATCCAATTTCATTGGTTAAAATAAGTTAAATAAGAGTTGTTTAATATATTGGAACACCACATTGATGATTTTAGAAGTGGTTGGTCCATGGGAGCATTTAATACTCAAAAATTAATATTTATGAGATAGTTGGGAGAGATTAATGTGTAATAATGATGGTTTGAGGTGTTATGAATGATAATGTGCATTAATGAAATCTAATGAACCCATTGGATATGAACGGGTAGTGATTATGAGTTGGTTAAAAGTAGTGTACGTGGAGTTTTATATTGATAAAGTTTCAAGAGCTAGATAGTGATGATATCCTTGTGATTTGGATGTATAGAGGTTTGTTCTAGCACTATTCGAGCTTGTTGAAACTTTAGGAAGTTGATATAATGAGGGGTAAACCTTTAACTTCTCAAAGATTTAAAGTAATTGAGAGAAACTTAATTTTTATAATTAAATGTTAATTGTGTTTGTAAAATATGATTTATGAGTTAAATTGATAATGCATATTGACAAGGTGTTGATTTGTGAAATGGTTTTTTTTTTGAAAAAAAATCGTGATTTTACCACCCTTGATGTTTTGCAAAATTAATTGCGATTTATTACTATAGGTGGAGAAATTGTAGTAAACTATATGTTAAATTATGGAGCATTTGTGTTATATGAGTTCATGTATTGAAAAATGATTGTTAAAATGTATATTATGTATGAAATGTGCATAGCATGATCATTGACAGAAGTTCACGTAGGGAGAGGAGTAGATTGGTTGAAAATCCACGTGGTATTGGCAGTAACCGTTGGAATCGAAAACTAGCCTTGGCACTAATTGTTGGAATCGGGAGGTAGCCATTGTCCTATGGTTATTTTGGGAGTATCCTACTTGTTTTACAAGAAACTCAAACATAAATAGTCTCTACCAGTTCATGAGGAGGCTAGATTATGGGTACGACATCCTATAATTGTTAGTATTAGGAGAAACTAGATTATATAAATGAGTGAGTTCACCCTAGCCAAGTAGCTCCTCACGAGTAAAAGGCTGGGTTAGTCCGTGAAAGACATAGACACGAGATAGCCACTGATTTCGTGTTGTAGATAACAGGAGGATATAAGGTTTGCATATAATCATACATATAAGTTCGACCATATGGTTGTTAGTTTTATGATTTGACATGTGTTGAAGGCGCTTGGTTGTTATTTTTACAACCTTCGGTTATGTTTTTGTGAAATAACATGATATAATGTTTTGTGGCAAGCCTAATCACATGGTTAGTAGTTTTGTGAATCGTGGCCTGGTGTTATGTGATATATGTATTTAATTGTCTAACTATATCTATTTACAATTGATATGCAACTATATGGGTTAAATGAAACTTGGTTACCGAGTGGTTGTACTCATCCCTCAATTCTCAATATTTTTAGGACCTAGCTCATCGGATTTGAGTTTGGAAAAACATACAGAGGCTTAGGATTAGTGGAGTAATCCTCTATATGCCTCTCTTTTACTATTTACATAGATATTTGTTAATGTAATTGCCAACTAGGAGTATTTGATATGATTTATGCATTATTTGCATGATTTTGTGTATGACTAGTGTATTTATGCCCTGAGTTAGTGAGTTTTGGTTATAAACCTGTAAATAGGGCCAAAATACTTGTGCAAGTAGGAACATATATATTTTTGAGAAATTTGGAACTAAATGGTTGATTTTGTGCAACTTTTTCTCCCCCTTTATGTTTTGTGGAAATTGGGGTTGAGTGGTAATTTTGTGAAATAAGCATTTTTGGTTGAGTATAGTGTGTTGCACGAGTCTGCAAGAGTCCATTAAGTGTGGTTGGATGGTTTGCATAAGCTATTGGCACGAGTGGTTGAGTTGAGACACCCCATTTGTGAGATTTTGTAAAGAAAGTAGTCAAAAGGGGTTTTGGTGTCCAACTTTTTATAAAAAAATTGTTTGAATATGAAACCTATACCATTAGCTAGATCTAGAAAAAAGTTCTGTGTAGACATTGAAACCACCTCAATCGGACGTCGGATGAAGAAGTGAGACACGTTAGAAGTCCGCTCCTTATGCCGTCAAATGACAATACTGATTTGTCAAATTTCGTGCAATGTACCGTGGCGCATGGCGTCTCACACTGCAGTACATGGCATAGAGAAGACACATCATGGTGCCGTGACGCATGTTATTTTTTATACTGAATTTGTTTTTGAGTCTTAAAACTATTATTTGGGTCCTAATTGATTTTTAAACTTTTGTTTTATTTTCAAAACTCTGATTTGGAGTCCTTAAATTATGTTTGGGATTTGAATTAACAAAAATTGAGATTCCTTTAAAATAATTTTAAGAAATTTTTTTTAAAACCTTACAATTTGGTAATCCTTGAGGGTAAAACCTTGGATTACCATGATTTGGAGTTAATTATTTTTTAACCTTAGGGAGGTTACATAAATCGCATTTGTTTGTCAAATAATCTGTAACATTAATTGTTAATTTGCTAACTTCACTTATTAATTTACTAACATAGGCTATAAATTATAAGACATGTTAGTAATTTACAATTGATGTGTTAGTAAATTATAAGACCTGCCAGCAATTTATAACTAATATTAGTAAATTAATAAATAAAATTAGTAATTTAACAACTAATGTTATTGTTTATAATTGGACAACTGATGTAAAGTCTTATATAATTATTGACAAGTCAACTCATGTAATTTGCAACTCATGTTAGTAAATTAATAAGTAAAGTAAAAAGATTAACAATTAGTAATTTTACATAATAAATGAAGAATATTGTAGTCTTTTCACCATTGACATGATTTTTACTTTTCTCCTCCTAGATTGAACTGAAGTTTCAGTTTTTTTTTTAAACTCACTACTAATTAAGTTTCTTCCTTGATCCTTAACTAAAATTTTCCTTTAATTGAATATTTACTGGCAAGATCTTTTGCATTAGTATAAGCTCCCTCTCGATCTCTGTTATAGGCATTTTTAACTATTTTATCAAAATTAATAATAGATTGTTAAATCATTAATTTTAGTAAAAAATATAATAAACTTCCAATCTTACCCCTAATAATTTTTTAAAATTTACATTACATTCTCTCTCATAATTAATAATTTAAATAAGAGTCATATTAAAAAATATATAATTGAAAGTTAAAACTCCATCAAATACTTTATAATAATGAAAAAAAATTCTAGAAATACCCTATGATAAGGACCAGAATAGCATAATGTTTGGCTCATGAAATCTAGATCCGGTTTTGTTTTGATATTAATAAATTAATAGATTGATTATGTGTGAAATTTGGTCATTATTACACACTCTCCTGTCCAAAATAATAAGGAAAATCCCATTTAAAGACTATTAATATATACAGAATAAATTATTGTTAAAATAAGAATATGAATTTATTTTTTTTACTGAATGAAATTTATTATTAGTCATTACCTACAAATATGTTTCTTGAGTTGTTCTTGAATATAATTTTTTTAAAATAATATGTAAAACTCATGTATTTTTACTTCTAATTTTTCTCTTTAAACATGGAAAAATATTGAAAAGAAAACTCAATTTTTAAATTTATTAATGAATCTTTTTTTTCCCATATCTTTCGTCTCCTTTCATTTTATCATAATTTTCCATCCACTTTAAAATGTAGTTTACTATATATTTAATAATTTTAAAATTCAAAAAATTTAAATTGAACAACTTTTTTTTTTCTTGATATAGTTTGCCAGGATATTTTTATTTAGTCAGTAACATATGATAAATATCATATAAATAATATCTTAAAATATTAAATTTTATTATATAAAAATATTTTCCTACAAAATAATAAGATTATTATTGCTTATATGAAATTAATAATTTTTTTTCTTCCTCGCACTTTTTCTCACCCAGCCAAAACATAGAGAGAAAAAAATATACTCCTCCACTTTTTTCCTTCTCTCTATTTTTCTTTATGAGCCAAGCATAATATTAGCTTCAAGTTATAATAAGCGAGAAGAATATTATAAATTTACAACTATAAGAACCTATGTTAACAAATACAAAAAATAGAATGAAAAAGAATTTTTTTTAAAAAAATATCATGTTACTTACATTTTGAATTAAGATTAGTTAATAAAAAATTTTCTGTTTTGGACAGGAATGAGTACCTTTTATGATCAAAGAAGATCTAAAGTTTTTAAAAAAATTTCTTACAATTTTTAAAATTTAAATTTTTCCATGAATATTTATACTTTTCATGTCATTTTTTAACTTTTATTAAAATTTTATAATGATAGTCTTGGGAGAAAAAAAAAAGAAAAAAATACTTATCCGCAAGGGGACCCAAAACAAGACTTCGTGACTGCAAAGTTATCCACAATGCACTTCAATTTTTGTGGTTTTCCAACAATAAAAGCATCATTTGTCTTTTGAAAGCAGGGGCTAAATGGTAACTTCAAGTCCAGATAAAAACAAAACGAGATCCCGAATGCATTTCCCTTGAAAAGTCCCAGCGCGTCTGTGAGTGACTCGCATCGAGAGTGCCGCATAGAGAGAGGAAAAAAAAAACGATCCAAAGCGAAGAAACGGCAATGGTGAATGGTGATTGACTGTTCTCTTCTGATTCATGATCATGTTCTCAGTCCTTCTTCATGAGAAGAAGTGATAGCTTAGGTCCTTCTTTGAACCCTTGTGTTACATAATTCCTTTTTATGTATGTCGAGATCTGTGTCTCTGTTGTAAAATTCGTTGATCCACTATGTTTGATTTTTGTTTATTATCGCGAGTTCGTGTTTTGTCCGTAAGAACGTGCTGGATCTTGGAGTTTTTCTATTGTCTCGCTGTTTTTGTCTGTGTGTTTGGCATTTTCTCGTCCAAATCCTCTCAATTTCTTTTCTTAATATTGCATTTTTTCAGCGAAACTATATGGAGCTGGGGTGAAGACACTGGATGCAGCGGTTCATCGATCTCTTCCTGATTTTTTGTGTGGGAAAACACAAAGCATGAATTGGTCGATAAACCTCTGCATCCAATGCTTACTTGGTCTCTTTCAGTATTTTCGGTGCCATCAGTTTGGTCGCCTTGCCGAGCTTAGTTTTCTTGCTTTTATCTCCGTTTCAGCAGTTTCAAGTTGTTTCTTGTCGAGAAATTCTTATTATTTTCTTGGAACTTATTGCTTGATTTCCAATAACATTGCTGTATGGCCTTTTAATGATCGATTCGCCAGTTGCTGTCCTGTCGATTACCGTTTAAAAATTTACATGTTTCAGCTTCCAGCTTGCATATGTCATCATGCATTATAATATCATTCATGGCTGATTTTCATTGTAGGAGATATGCATGATCTGTAACTATAGGTTAGATGAACTGACCTCCCCCGATGTTGCCGATAGTACTGCGGCTGCCGACATTCCCATTTTGTGATGCTCTTAGGCTGGCAAACTAGATCTTATATTAAGTGGGGTAGTTCATGATCTATCGCATTTATCCTGTTAAGTTTTGAGAGAATATTCTTAGGCGGATTTCTACTTTAATTTTACTTTCGGTGTTCATGTCCTTCACTCTCCTGCTCTCAAGCCTCTCAGCAAGAAAATAGCATTCTCGCAGCTCACTTTTTATCATCTATATAGCCCCATTGGAACATTGCTGAGATGGTAAAGCCTCTTACCAATTGATAAGAAGTTTTCAATTGGTGGGTTAATCAAGAACGGCTAGTACATCCCTTTTTAATCTATTTCTTACAAGTATATGTGAATTTAGGGTAATCGTGTTTAATTGTGTTCTTACCTGTCTGAAGCACCATTTTGATGATTTTTTTTGTTCTTGAAATTGTCCCGCTTTCATTTCCCCCCTGTTCAAGTGTAAAATATAAAATATCAGTCTTTATTCGAGCTTCGAGGCATCGTTGGTTGCAGATCAGGCATACTTAATATGTTTCATATCATATTGGTGCCGCCTCTTTTTATGTGGTGCATGTTTCATGCAGAGACTTTTTCATTTTTTGATTAATTGCCCCAAATGCTGGTTTGAAATGTGATGTAATCAACCAGAAAGTTTATCTCCATTCAGTTATGAAATTTGGAGCTCCTTATTGGATTGTAGAGCTTTCTTAACATGGTCATGGAGCCATGGGTGTGAAATGCTAATTGCCATCGGCAAGTCATTTTCTTCATTTCTTAAGCATATATAGATGGTTTGAAGGTCCCTGCTTGTTGCTTTCTTGTAAAGGAAAAGGTATCTTTGGAAAGCAGGATTTCCTCCAAGGGGTAGGTCAGGTGTAGGCCGGGCCTACCGAACAATATTAAACATTACGACTGAGAAGGAAGGCTACAGTGGATGGAGTACAACTTGCTGGGGAATCTTGTTGCTAATGATGTTTACGGGAATCTGGATCAAATTCTCCTGAGTTAATCATATCTAATCCTACTAAGGCTCGGTTTGGATCAGTTGTTGCGTGGAATTAATAGAACTCATTGAAGAACTTATAAACTGTTCGTATTTTGGTAATCAATCTAGATTTTTCTAACTTAATAGATAATAAGGGAGAAACTTTAGGGAATGCAAATTAGTTATCTTATAAAAGTAAAGTTTTTTTTGTCATATTTTTAAGTCATATGATTAACTTTTTATTCTAAATTTTTCTTTTAACCTTTTATTAAAGTATGTATATTTAATAAAGATAATAATATAAATTTATTAAAACTTTTGGTAAAGTTAATGATTTTAAATTTTTTTAATTTCAATAAAACAAGTTTAAAAGTGATTTGTAAATAAATTCAACAGAGCATGTGAATTCTCTGTCCAAACAAAGTCTAAAATATAGGTGGTTTCTGTCGTCATGAAGTAAATAAAGTCCAGTCCCAATTTAGATTCGGGAAACAATCAAGTCTATGTATAGTAAGTAACTGGTTGAAGCTGAGGATATCCTATCGGTAGATTACTATATTCCTTGTTCCCGATTGATCACTCATTCAGTTACTATCTCACACTATTGGCCGTTTTGCTTTTTACATTATTCGGCTATTCCCCGCCAGTCATTTGAATAGTTTACATATTTTGCCCAATTTAAATTTAAAAATATAATTTGAAATTCCACTATTTTGAAATTAAAAATAATAATAATAATAACAATAGAATACGGTGCCAAAAAAACTGTTAATAAAATATTGTGTATTTAAGTTAAAGGAGTTCGCAATGAGCTGACTCAATGGCTAAGTTATTGGATACACTTATGCCTTGATTATGTCATTATGTATAAACTATAAAGTGTATGTCAGTTATGTTGTGGCGGCAATGGTGCATCGCGGCTGCCTAAGAAAAATGCGTACTACAAGGCGTTAATGTTTAAGACGGGGGAACGAAGATGTAATGTAAATCATGCATAGTGATATTCGAAGCCAAATGTTCAATCGCTGTATGAACGAAGCTAATTCGCAGATTATCTTTCGTGTCAAGTTTAGTGGGAATCAAATTAAAGCAGATATGATGAAAAAAAGCTGAAAGTTCTTTGGATTGAGACGCTCTTGACCTCATATTTTGTATCATATATCAATATCATAATGCATCGGTGTGTGGTTGAAGACCTACTTTGCTTTTGTTACAGTTCTTTCTCTTTCTCTTTTTCGTTTTTGCCGTTTTTCTTTGATTAATTATTTTTATAAAATTGAAACTATATGTCAATTTCGTGGAGTTTGAAATAAATCACACGGTTTATAATTTATAAATAATAAGTTATGAGTTTATCCATTAATTTTATACAATCGATATATTGATGACAAGTTTGAAATTTTAAATTTCTTTCACCTATAAATCTGAATTTCCTACTTTTTAAAAAATTACTAGGGAGAAATTGTATATTGCTAGAAGATGAATGAGTTGCCAATGAAAGTGAGTTTAGTTGGCAAGGATAGAAGTTCAGAAGAATATGATTGTTATATTGATCTGACAAGTTTTCCAAACCTAATTCACTTAATTATTTTAATTCAATGTAAACAGATCTTGTTCGAGTAAAAACACGAGAGCATAGAGTGAAAAGCTTTGCTAGCATTCCCCCGAACTCCAATAGATGAGCTTATTATATAATTTATGGAAATAGATTCTTTAAACTTAAAAATCCGTCAATTTCATGAAATTTGTTCTTTTAAAAAAGAGAAAGACTTTATGTTCTTTTTTAAAAAGTAATAAAATGGAAAAATATATATATATATATATATATAACTTAATTTGCTTTCATAATTTATACATGATGGTGAATTCTTCCACTTCTGTACCATGGGGATCAAGAAATTTTCTGCTGCAACAATATGCTGGACATGAGAGAGGGGAAGAATCAATAGAAGCTGCACTTGAAAAAATATTAATGGCAAGTTTAGACAAAGGAAGAAAACAAAAATTAATTTAAAAAGCCGGTTAAAGAAGAAGGTGGAAAAGTCTCCACCTTGGGTTCAGAACTTTCTCAGCTATGTTGAACTTCCAAAACCGATGTTATCCTCAGAAGATTGTTTCTCTTCGCCTTCAAGGGGGTTTGGAGTAAATTCTGCTGAAAGTGAACTGCGCTTCAGGTTCGTTTTCACCTCCTATAAATGTCTTTCAGAAAGTTGTGTCGTTGTATGCATTTTTCCCCTCAAACATTGCCATTTCAGTGGATGCTTTCTTGTGGATACTTGGTCTAAAGTTTTGTACTATGTATTGTTGTACGCTCACTCACATTCATTTGACAATTCTGATCCTTAGCCCTGGTAGCAATCTCTTCGGCTGCTTGCGTAGATTTTCTAAACGAAAACATGAAGAGCTTGGCTACAGGATAAGTTACAAGGGAATTAATTAGACAACTTGCATCAACATGTATTTTTCCTTCTTTCTTTGTTCACTTTCTGCATTGTTTAATCTCTCACTTATAGGTTTGCAGCACTTTCTGCATCTACGTACTACATGGGTAGTTTATCTCTTCTTGTTCCTCGCTTGTACTTTCTTCAGGTGAAGTGATAACAATTCTTTGTCATCCAGCATAGGCTGATAGCCCAACAAATCTGGTTTTTGAATGAGCATAGCAATCCCTGCCGCGCATACTATGAAATATGAGTATTACTTTAACTTGACATATAAAGTAGAATATGTACCTATGTTATCAATCTCTTCCCTAAACTTCTTGATGCAGTACGTAAGTCATCTCTGTTTTATAGACTAGTTTGCAGTACTAATTTTTGTCATGAGCTGATCTCTCCAACTAATTACTGTAATCATTCGCCTCTCAGTAGATGAGCAGACGTAATCTATAAGATGACATTTCATTTCTTCACAAGGAATTCTTTGATTTACTCGATCTTCTCCATCGGGTTTCCCCTATTGATTCCTCTTCTGATCAGGTTCTCAGCTTCATCAATTCACTATGAACCACTATGCTGTGGACACCCTCATGGCACGTACAAAAGCCCTCTAGAATTCCGCGTAATTCAGCTTTGCGGGCAGTCAATATTCCACTACCACAGCAAACTTTTTTCCTCTTCAAAAATATTTTCATTGCAATAGAATTTCCAGAGGTTTGGGTGGGAAGTCATATTAAAAACCATAATTATCACATTGAAGTTACCCCAATATGAGGTCAAGTAACAAAAACAAAAACAAAAGAAAAAGTAATCTCAAGGTTCCATGAAAGATCAGATGAATTGCAGGTCAAAATTTGTTCATCAGAACAAAATGTGAGCAAATGTAGAAAGCCGACCCATATGTACCTCCTCGAAACGCAAAGCCTATGGATATTAGGACAACAAGACTGACCTTGCTTCACTGGTATCATTTAAAAAGAAGATACATGTATCTATGAATCACCAAGGGTTACGTGCTGTTTGTGTGGTGCTTATTTGGGCAGGAATCTGATCGATTGTTCCAGACGGCATAGCAGCTTAAGATGTACAAGATGGTGAAGTAAATGATCACCATCGTGGTGAAGATTGTTAGACGCCGCCAGTGCAGCTTTGTGTCGGCCAACACTCCTCCCTTGCACGAATTGCAATCGTAACACAGCTTGTCCTGGCTATTGCTCCATCTCTTGCAATCACTATCCCTCTCTACTGGTCCTGTCTTGGGCTCTACCCAGAAGGTCACGTTCTCCATTGTGAATCCACAGTACACTGGCGGCTTACAGCACCCGGACTGCTCATACCCACACTCAACATTATCACTGCATATTCTTTTTAATTTCCGCATATATATGACTGAGCGGAGGTTTTAATTTGTTGGTGGTCTTCATACTTCTCATGAATACTCAAATGCAGAATAAAGTGTCTGTTTAGATATTAAAATCTTTGCAAAACAGAGAGCTGCATTCATAACCCTACCATCTAGGCCTTCTTTCTGATGAAACCAGCAAAATTGAGGTTTTTTTTTTTCTGAAATTAAAATAGTACGTGTAAAAATGTATTGGGTCATTCATAGACACAATTTTAATTGAGGAGGAACAACGAAGCCTAACCTGGGTGACAGACAAGTGCCTGAAAATCAGATATTCGTTGTCCTGATCACCGTCAACGGCGAGGTTCCGGCACACATGAGCATCGATTAAACAACTCTTGATCTCTTTCCAATGCTGATAGTCATCAATCACGTAACGCTGCAACCAATGCTGGAAATCAGCGACCTTAAACTGTTCCCATATCCGCTGCCCTAACTTCGAGTGTGTCCCGAACAACGCGAAGACGGTCCATAATATGAGAGCCAATATTAGGAGGAACGTCACAAACAAGAAGACTGACATAACCCCATTGACGCGGCCAAACGAGGCCACGATTCCAAGCGTCGAAAGTAGCGCTAACAAGAGGCCGCCGATCAATAAAGGATTCCGGAGAACTTTCTGGCAGTCGGTAGCGTGAGCGCCGCGGATGATAATGTAAATCGAGCCACCGACTGCGGCAAGACCCAAGAGCAATGTCAAAACGTTGAGGACACCGACCACGACATTGCTTCTGTGGACCATCGCAGTTCCCGACAGCGCCAACGGCGGAAGCCAACGAAGAACACGAAGGGAATGGTTAGAAAGTTATAATGGATTTATTAATATTAATTGTAATTGCAATACCGATTGGATTTCCATTATCGGGAAGATAATCATAGCCAGCGAAGTGGAGAACAAGGCGATCTGGAAATTGTAACTACCTCTCAGGCGGGAAACGGTTTTGATCGTCACTCCTTTTTTTTTTTTTTTTTGGGGGGGGGGGGGTAAACGACCGTCACTCTTTTTTTAATCTTAAAATAGTACCGACTGTTGATTAACTTATTTATTTGGAAAAATTATTTTTGTAGGGTGAAATTTATACCCAGCACTATTTGGATATATCTATCTATCAAATTTCGCAATACATTGATCATTATTGCTTTAGTTAACTTACCCAAAAAAAAAATTGTTTTACTCGTTAAGATAGCCCTAATAATTAATTATTGAAATCAGATGGTAAGAGGATCGATTGTAATTAATAAAAAGTAAATTTGAAAAGAATACAGCATTTTTAAAATATAAAAAAAAATTCATCTAGGGCTATTAATGATAATAGAATCTATATTGTAGGATATATCAAAAAAGCATATATAAACACATATATAAAAGAAAAAACTTATACCCTTAACTTATATATTTAATATATTTATATTTAATAAATTATGAGAAATAAATTTTAATATGTTAATAAAATTAATAAAAAGAATTTATTATTGAATAAATAATTTATAAAAAATTCACATATCTTGATTGAATTGGATATAGATATAATAAATATGTAAAGTTAAGTATATAAATTTTTTACTGTATAAAATAGACAATAGAATACTAATATGCACTTGTTCGAATAAAGTGATGTTTCTATCGCTTCTTGTTGGGGTTATTTGGGGAGGATTTGTATTCGACAAAAGTAAAAGACAGAGTCCAATTTTTGGAAGAACAAAAATAGCAGTCAGCGATAGGATTTAAATCCTCAGAAAAATTTTTACATAATCAGTGGATATAATATTAAATATTAATGATGACGATGATGATATTTTAATTTTAATTAAACCGAGATACTACTTTATTATATTTTCTTGATAATGATTATGAAAAATAAGTACTTAAATGTATTTTATTATTAATATTAATAGATTATTAATAATATTCAAAACTAATAATTCTAATATGTTTCATAATATGGACATTTTAGTCATCTCAACTTTTCACTTTTCTCCTTGCCACTCCATATTTTTATCCAACCAAACATAGGAAAATTATAACTAAGTCTGGATAAAAAAATTAATTACTAACATGTTCCCTTAAATTTGACTTATTAATAATAGGTCTCCTGAGTACTTGCCCAAAAATGCGGATAAGGTGTAAATTTGTAAGTTTGGCTCGTAATTTCTGTAAGTTTCTCAAGCAGGCCTAGGTAAAATAGAGGAGCAAGAAAGTAGTAGAAGCATACAAGGAACAAAGGGGTAAACAAACAACGTTTTGAGAACCCAGTAGCATAGGACGAGTGAAGATAAAATCCAGTTATCTCTATAGCCATAACCTCTGACTCTAAATATTTACAGGAGTCATGACTCTCAGGATAAAAAGATGATTCATCCAGAAAAGAAAGGATAAATAGGGGCATTACAGATCCTGAATCAAGACTTTGCTCCAACTATGTATACACGAAAAGTAGTCCACTAGAAAATGCCCCGCATGATCACTGTAAATCCCCTAGTTACGCCTCCAGGAGCAAAATGCTGGCAAATGTTTTCCAGCATTCATAATGATCCATCCCACAGGAAACAAACAGTCAATTTCCCAGTCTGCAAACAGAGCTAGGTCTGAATAGCCGGACCAGAATATACCCCCTGCCGCATATAAAGATCACTAGGCGTTTCAATCTCAGCAAGCCAAGCATATTCCTCCTCTTTGCCATCGCATAATTTAGGTCCATTTCCTGTTGCTGTAGTGCAGTGACAAAAAGAAAACTTTTAAGATATGGATCTGATATCTGATTCCACATTAATATATGAGTTCTATGAGAATTTTGAGCAGCATTGGCGTACTTTAGAATGGGAAATGTAATTGAACTAAAGCAGTCCTCGTTCATATCTTGAGGTTCAATCAAAAGTATCCCTATATGCATATGATCCATGGAATATAAGCAATGTTTGTTAGCAGTTAATTACCAAATGCTGAATAAGGATAATCATGATAGTAAGTGCACTTCCTTCCTGCATCTTCTCTGTAAGGAGGTGAGAGAATGTCTAGCACAGCACAGGGGGTCACTGCAGTGAAACAGTGCAGATTACCCCCTTTCTTTGGATATAGAACTGATGTCTCACACGGTGCAGTCAAAACTTTATCAACTGCCAACTTTGCCAGTCTTACTACAAGGGAGAAAAAAAAACCAAAAATAATAAATTATTGGAACAATTAAAAAGTAACTGATAAAGAAGGGAAGGAAGTATAAGCCAAGAAACAAGGTGATGATTTCCAAATTGCATGATGTCCAAAAAAAGTTCCCGAATACCATATTCTATATATGATCCAATAAATTGGGTGCTTGAAATTCGAGAAAGTTAATGAGTAACATGCATGGAGCATGGTCATATAACCTGGGTCCTCAGCAATAACACAAATAGCATTCAAAGTTATTACAGACCAAACGTAATAGCATAAGGAAATCATTGATGACTCGTGAGTTACAAGCAACTGCTCATCTGATGCCGATTCTAACCATTTACTAAGTTTTTATTGGCCATGCCATTTTCTAAGATCAACAGAGAGATGATAAGCTTTGCAAACCTAGCAAAGGTACTGAGGTTTGAAGTTTGACATCATAAACAGAACAAATGAACCAAAAACAAAGCTAGAACGCATGAAAAAAATATGCTGAATTGAGGAAGACAAACCATAGTCTGATAGAATTCAGTGGATTTAAGATAACTATATGAGCATTAGACATTAGATATAAGATATTAAGGCTGGCTATTCACAAGAGTCATCATCATCAGATCACAATTGATCATTGTGGCATCCGTGTGCTCATGATTCCCAACCAGGAGATGTGATTTGAGAAGTCTATGAAAATAGATTGAAGACACACTCTGGGAGGACAAGGTCTTCAAGGAGGAACTAAACAAAGGGAGTAATCTCATGATTTGAAAAAAGACATAAAATTAAGTCATACCTGGAGCACATCCAGGTTCCTTGTTTTCAGCAATGCAGGCAGGCTCGATCCAGTCATAAGCTTTCACATGCAAAGAACCATAGAGAAGTTTGCTAAATACAGTCATCCCAGGATGGTCGTGGAGTGGAATAACTGAAGAAGTAGGAAAGCAGAATATACACATCTGCAACAAAAGATTTTTTTTTTTTTTATTCTGAAGAGTAAATCTCATTTCAAAGCCGTTGGAAAATCACAAGAAAATCATTATCATTGAATTTTAGATACAGACATCATGATCAACCTGACTGCAAGAAAAGAAAGAACATTTTAGCTATATCTGAATTCTGAATCATACAGGCACCAATAATCAGATATTTTTGGTAATTAAATTCAAAAGAACTTTTGTTTCTTTAGGAGATAGATAAAAACAAACAACATACAAACACAAAAAGGCATAGAGTACAGAAATGAAAACTTGCACGAGCAGCAGGATAAATTATTGCCCACGTTACGCTAGTTCTATTTAACTATTTTTTCTTTCAATTAAGAGTAACATTTACAAGTTGACAGCATAGACTGAAAGGAGACAAGCAGAGTAGTATATGTACTGCTTGAAAAGGGCTAGAGTAAATGTCAGCTTAAGTTTAATAAACCAATGTACAAGCTGAATCTGACTGAAAGTCACAGACTGGAGATGAACATAAAATCGCAAGCCAGATCATTGGCCAATTACTTGTGAGTCTAGAGGTATGACAAACTAGTTCTGTAAATAATTGAGTACATGTCTCATTGACCTTGATGCTAAAATGGTAAAGCTCACCATAAAACTGTCACATTCATGAATATCCACATATGTTATTGGTTGAGCCCATCGAGCTACCCTATTCAGTTGGCTAATTCCAAAGAATCCATGGCCTCGATCATCATCTGTGGTTTCCTCTTTAAGCCCAACATCAGCTGGTTGAACAGTGTCTGCAAAGTCACAAATTGCTAACAGCACATGAAACATCCACTAAACAAAGCATTCTGACCATAGTACATTTCCAAACTCTTAAGACCATAAAGTTATCTCTATTTTGACGTAAAGAGTATGGGAAGATTATTCACTCAAAGCTGAAGCCAGGGAAGTTTGGTACATACAATGGGAAAGAAAAAATGGAATTAAAAAAAAAAGTGTGCATGAGAAATGATTCTCATGGCCAATCATACCTTAAAAAGAATTATGAAAAAAAAAACACTATTGAATAATGATAACAAATACCTATTATATATTACATACCCCCCCCCCAAAAAAAAATCATGTTCTTGAATTTCCCAGAACCAGGCAGTGACACGCTACCCATGAAAACCAGTTTACACAGTTCCATGTATGCACAAGTTTTGAAGTTCTAGTATCTTTCTCAATCGGTATTAGAGAGTTATTCCTCACAATTTCTACAGACGAACGGAAATACATTCCCACCTTCAAATTAGAGTCGAAATCTAAAGCATTGCAAATGAAGTCCAGTCTAATCTGAAAAATGAAATCCAACATTTTACTTCAACCACAAGGGGCAGACCCATAACAACATTGGCAACAGTCGCTACTTACAGCAGTAGCTACGAGCACTTTTTGTGTGGGTTACCCATAAGCACAGTTTTACGAACCAGTAATTATTAGCCTAAGAGAATGACGATTGATACACACATACACATCTAAACTTTAATAAGAAATACCAAGAATTGAAGAGAGCTTCTGTAAGGCTAGAGAAGAACGAAGGGGAGTTCCCGAAGCAGTGAAGATCTTGTTGCAGTGGTCGTACAAAAGCTGGACCTTGGAGCGTTGCTGCTTCATGCTAAAGTATCTTCGGAAGGAAGCGAAGACCATGTCCACCTTATCAGATAATTTTTGTAATTTTTTAAGCATTTTTATTTTAATGGTCATCCAGAACCAGAAGTAAACCGATGCGGGAACAAAGCATTGCAAAATGCAAATTTTCAGGAAAACTTGCTGACTTTTCCAGTTCCTCCCATAAATTTCTCTTCATGGTAGATCTGAAGGAATAGAGCTCATTGTTCAACCCTACCCGGCGACTCATTATTACATGGTCATCGTTGCTACTTACTAGAGTTTTGTTTCTGTTTTTTTTTTTTTTTTTTAGCAAAAGTTTAAGGTTTAATAAATTTTCACTCATTTGTCCTAAATTTTTTCTCATCCCTCGAAATATTCAGTGACATTTACATATTTAATCAAAGGTTAAAATATATTTGTATCTTTTAAGTAAATTTAATTTTCATTTTGTCTGTTTAAAAATTTTATTTTGATCAAACACTTATCATCTGCTTCATCTATTAAAAAAATATAAAATATATTTAATCTTTTAAGATATAATTAATAAATTTTTAAATAACATTTTTAATTAAAGTATATAAGTAATAGAGTATTTTTAATTAAATTATTCTATTAAATAAAAATAAATAAAAAAAGAATATGCAATTTAAAAGATAATACACTAATTAATTCAAGATTTGATTCAATTAAAAATAATCGATAATATTTAAGGGAGGGAGTATATAACAAGTATGATAACAAAGTAGACTGATTCCCGTGCGTTGCACGGATTTCCATGAGGCAATTGAATAAATTATTTTGCAAAAAATCAAATATATCTATTTTGCAACAAATTATTAGAATTAAATTGTAATTAAAATTTTATTAAAAGATCAAGTATGTAATGTATGAATGTCTATTTTGGTAGACAAATGAATACTTTTCTAGTTAAATCCAGTGTGTTTGGACACTGCAATTAATCGTTTTTTTGAGCCCAAAAATCAATTAAAAAAGAATTTACCCAAACAGTTAAGTGCCTGTTTGGATAAGGAGAAAACGCGCGTTTTGGATCCAAAATCGATTTTTTCTGTCAATCTATCCAAACAGTTGAAAATGATCAAAAATCGATTATGGGCCAAAACGCGCGTTTTTCTCGAAACTTCCTTCGTCCGCTTTCTACCAAAAGTTTGTCAAAAACGTTGGGGAAAATTACAAAAACAGTCCCAAAAAAAAATTACAAAGAAAGCACATAATTTAATAAAAATAAAATTAAACTCTCTTCTTTTTTTTCCTTAATAAAATTTAAACTTTATATATTTAAAAAATTAATATTTGATATTTAAAAATTAAATTATATAGTTAAAAATTAATTTTGATTAAATTATCCAAATATTTTAATTCTGTTAAAATCAATTTTAAAAAAACAGTATCTAAACAAATTACGTTATAACATAATCAATTATGATTAAAATCTACCACTTAATCAATTATTTTCATAATCTATTATACCCAACTGAAATCCAAACAGACCCTAAGTTTTTGCGGTAATTGATTATTGAGGTAATTAATCAATTTTATTACAAGCTGAGGGAGATTGCTTCTCATGGCTGCTGCTGACTGCTAGGGTTGTATAAAGGATTAGACGATATTGCACTTCAGCTTAACTCAAAGTTTGATCTCTTTTATAAAAAAGATTGGGTTAGACAACAATAATCCGATCTTATCTATTAATAATTTGAATATTAACAAGACATAACTTAATTTATAGAATTGGGGGACTGATAGAGTTGGGAATATAGGTCGGAGTTAAAGGATTGGACTTGGAGGCCTAGTTTAAATAAGGATTCGGGCTTTAAAGATTATTTTTTTAAAGTAATTGGGTTTGAAAACCTGACCCTAATAAACCCTATCCTGGCCCTGATATACCCTGTGAAAAAGGACTTGAGATCGAGCAACCCTTCAAGCCCAATTATCTTACACACACACACACACACACACACACAACAAACATTTAATTGACAATAACACAATTTAGTTAATATTTATTACAAGTGATGAAAAAAAAGTTGTAAAGATAATTGATATTGAATCTCTTCCTCCATCTTTAATAATTAGATCTATATCTAAGGGATCTAATATTTTATTTTTACATGATGATGGGAAGAATTTACATTTACATTGATAAAGATTTTAATTTTCATCTTAAATTTTAAATTTTAAATTTTTATCAAATTTTATGCTGAATTTTATATGAAACGTTAATTTGTTTCATATTGATTTTTAGAATATTCTATTTAAATTAAAATGTTGAAATTTTTTTTAAAAAAGAGGGTTTAAGGGCTCAACCCTGAGCCCTTTAAATAAGAATCGGATTTAAAATCAGGTCTAATTTTTTGTAAAGCTTTAGAGCCTGAGCTCTTAAGAGTCGGGCCTATAAGGGCTAGGCCCTAAAGAACCAAACCCTCCCTGATTTTCACCTCTAGAAATTAATCCTATTAGTTCAATACTCACTTAGTTTTTTTTTTCCTCTATGAGAAACAATAATTCATTTCAACCAAATAAACTCAATTAAGATAATAAAAATACCTATAATAATAATAAATTCATAATAATTTTTAACAACGAAAAAAATATTTTTGTTATAGTTCAAATTATTTAAATTTATAACTTTAACAAAAATAACACTCAATAAACTTCAATAACACTATATTACAACAATAATTTAGAAACAAACTCAAAATCTTTATACAATCATCTCTTTAACGTCAATTGCATTTGAAACATTTGTCAAAAATAAATTAATTATAATTATGTTAAATAAATTAATAAGATCGAATTGAATCAAGTAATTTAGATGTCTAATCTCCTATTTAATTTAACTTAAAAAAATAATATAATCTTTTCAATTTTTTTAATCTTAAAAGATCAATATTTATACAAATCAAATAGAATTGAATCATTTTGAATTAAATTGAATCAGACAGTATGAAGGGATTTTTACACAGCCCTGCTGTCTGCTGAGCATGTACATATTCTACCTAAGGCAACCTATGTGCTTACTGTTGTAGTCGTGCTTGTTTTGGTCCTTAGCTGATCATTTGAGATGGAAAGTAAAATTTCATTTTTGACTTGCTTGACTATGTTGACATGTACCACATATTTTTTTATATTTTGCCATAACCTCATAGACTAGTTCTGAGGCTTTTATCATGGCCACAGGATGGGAAAAGTACCGGCCTGGACCCCAAAAAAGAAATTGCAAATCCAGTTTGGATGGTTCTAAACAAATTTCTTTATGTCAACCAAGTTACATTTTATTTTTTATCATCATTGTCAGCCTTGTGTTAATTTATTATTAATAATTTAATTTAAAAATAATCTTTTTATAATAATTTATATTATTAAAATTAATTTTAAAAAATAATATCAAAATAAATTATATTATAATATAATCAATTATAATTAAAATTCATCATATTAATTAATTATTTTTATAATTAATTATATTCAACTGAAATCCAAACGTAACAGCAAACAATTACCTATCTTGGTCTTGGTTTATACTTTACACTTTCAGCGTTAATGTTTTATTTTTAAAAATAATTACATTTTAAAAATTTGTATTTTTTTTTTTTTTTTGCCCCTTTCACAAACAAGGAGGTAACACATCACAGTTACCTAACTGAACCCATACATGCCTTATCAGGCCAATCTAAATCCGTAAGCCTCCGAAGCTCATCCGGTTGGTGCATGATCGCATGAAACCCAAGAGAAGCAGCCAGATCCAGATGCTCCTTTGCTAAGAAATCAGCAGCTGTGTTACCCTCGTGTCGAACATGCTGCACTTGTACCTTCCAATCCCGTCCACGAATGCTCTGAATCTCCATCACGAGAACATAACCGTGATGTTCTGGATTGGGTGCACGAAGAAGAAGTTCTGACGTGTCCGCAGAGTCCGATTCCAGTATAATTCTTCGAAAACCAGCTTCCCATGCCGATTTGAGACCAACTAAACAAGCCCATAGCTCAGCAGTTGAACAATCGCCTCCATCTAAACGACATATAAAGCCATTACAAAACTGACCCCTGTCATCACGAATCAAACCACCGCAAGCTTAGCATGGTCAGATAAAGTGAAAGCCCCAACAGTTACAGTAGAACTAGGTGCAGGGATTGCTAGTCGTCGTTTCCCATCGTTGAAGGTCTCAGTCATCACCTGTGCCCGAGTAACCACGTCATCTTGCCGGATCAGCTGCCTCTCAAAACAAAAGTATTTCGACGATGCCAAAGACTCCAGCAAATCACTGTGAACAACGCCCCACAACTCCCGTTATAACCACTATCTTTCTGTGAAATATTCATCAATAGCCAGTCACGTTATTTGAAAGACGTGAAACGAGGCCAGATCGACGGTGAGACCAGCTTCTGCCACATAAGTTTTGTTTGAGCACAGCCTCTAAGGCCTAAGCACGTCTATTTTAAAATTATCATTTTCTTGTCGATTTGGATTTCATTTTTTAAGAATGCTGTTGACAAATAAAATTTCAAACATATTAAATTAATATATTGAGTGTCTTCTGTTTTTCTAAGAAGAAAAGAAAAATTAAAGTTAGCTAAAGAAATCACACATTTGTTACCATAACCAGTGATCAAAGAAGTAAATAAATATTATAAATCTCACTAATAATTAAAACACTGGCATAGGAAACATCAAGTTAATCTAGCTGTATTAGCATTATTCCCGACCACACCAACGTAGCTGAGCTTTATTCTGAAGCTTGAGTCTCTATGGCATGAAAACATTGGCATAGGAAACATCAAGTGAAGCAGCATACAGCTTCCCATTAAACTCCTGAACTTCACTCACCATTGCAGTACCATACTCCTCAACCAGAGCCACTTCCTGCAAAACATAACCATTCCCATCCACTCTTACTGCCAGAGGCAGAACTGGCGACCTTGATGGCGGTGGTGATCCGATGGGGTTATTCATCGCCACCCAGAACTCCCCGGCTGAGTTCCTCTTGATATTATCTGGTCTTCCAGGAAGCTGTAAGAATATTTCTGGTGTGTTTTGTTTGTCACCTTTCAGCCAGAATCTCAGGACTCTGTTGGCCATGAACTCGCTCACTAGCACATATGAACCGTCTTTGCTTACAGCCACCCCTGATGGCACTGCAAGATCTCTCAGCAACACACTGGTTTCCATTGTGCTTGGGTCGAATTTGATCAGGCTTCCTGAATTATCTCCATTTCCAAGTAGTGTCTTTAGATCTCTGAAAATTTTATTCCACCAATCAGTCGTTAGAACGAGGACAGAAACAAGAGTGAAACAATCCCAGTTTATTACTTTCTGATCACTTTTGATCGGTCTGCCAATTTTTTCATTGGTTCTCTAGTTCTTAACGGTTCTTCCATTATTTTTGGGGTGTTATGACTAGGATGATCTGGTTTTTAATCTCTTCTGCAGATTTAGCGAGAAGATATGCTATTTCATTGAGCTAAATCCTTTGAATGCTGTTAATTTGATCCAATTGTTTATCATGTGCAATGATACTATCGACCTTATGAAGAAAACCAAGAGGAAAGAATTGTTTACCTGATCTGGTAAGTAGAGCTAGCTTCCGTGAAATAAACAACTCCAGATTGAGGGTCTATATCCAAGCCTGCTAGAAATCGAAACGATTTACCTTCTACACACGAAACAACTTGGGTGGGAGACCCTCCATCGGAATTCACTTTCAAGAGTCCAAGATAAGCATCTGCTATATATAGTTCGCCTGTCTGGTAATTGAAAGCCAATCCCAATGGCCTCCCACATGTTTTTTGAATTTCTGAAAAGTCAGAAATCCCATCACAGATAGTCTTGTTCCTGCAGCACCAGACGTCACAGTTTAATCAGAAGCAGACCTCCTCTTAAAAGGGCACTTGTAGAATTACGAAATTACCTGTCTGGCGAGGAGAAAGCAAATTCGACAAAACCATCACTCGGTCCTACATATTTGAAGATTCTTCCATCAGAACCACCAGTGTAAGGTCCATCATCGGCTGGATCAAATGCTAGAGATTCAGGACCTGTGACTGGTGATGGCAGAAGGAGCCTGCTGATTATTCTGTTGGAGGAAGCAATAGATGGAGAACAAAGGAGGACTGTGAAAACGAGGATAGCTATATTCCACATTATTGCTAAATTCTAATCAACTCAAGGTCCTGAGGCCGAGGTTCATGAATTATTTACTATCTATGCAAAATTTTCTTTTGTCCCTTCCCTCATAACGCCGAACATCATCCTTCACTTGTCGCAAGTGGAAGCCAGAAGGATGAATTTGGGGCCGAAATTCCGCGGCTACATTCATAGCATGTTAAACTTTTTTTGGAATGATCTATGAATAAGAACTACATTTGCGGCACGTAAGGTCAAAGATAATTGAGCAAGTCACAGGAGGCGCGAGCTCTTGCCGACATATTTTTGCAGTTTTTGTGGCAAATCCATTGTAGCTTGAAAGCTCTCGAGTTTGATCATGCTTGAAGTATGAAAACACCGCATCTCAATTGCCTAGCTGGGATTGAGAAATTATTGACAAATAGAATGTGAGATCATGAAGGGGAAGGTCTTCAATTAACCGATTCTCATCATGGCGTTAATTTCGAGGTCGGTTGCGGAAAATTATACTAATAATAACAGTAGTAGCAGCAGTGTTAATATTAGACACTCCTCCGTATACAAAATCACATATATTAATCAATCTTATTAAATACATTTAATAATTTTATTTTTTTAAATAAAAATATAAACTTTAAAAATACCCATAACTTAATATATTAAAAAGAGAATGGATGAAAATTAATTATAGAGAAAAGAAAAGTAATATTAAAATAGTGCATTTAATGAAATTTTAATTTATTTAAAATATCTTTTATTTTGGAACGGATAAACTTTTTTAAAAGTGTCCTATAATTTGAGACGAAGGAAATATTAGATACATATGTGGGTAAATATAGTCGCCAAAATTTTCTAATGAAATACTTAATTTGAATTACTTGCATTTATTTTTAATTAAAGTAAATAATCAGGTCAAAGATATATTAAAAGATTAATTAATATTTACTTAAAACGATAGTTATTTTTATCCAAAAACAACTAATTGAAATGAAAATGGTTGCACCCAAACAAATTTGCACAGAATTGTTATCCTGGTTCTCTTTACATTGAGCAAGATAACGTCTATGCGAACGAGGCTAAATCTTGCACACCCGAAAAATATGGTAAAAAATTACACAAAAGCTTACTTTAGATTGTATTCTTTCAAACTCGTTTCTGACTCCGACCAAGCATGAATTTAATATCTTTGCCTTCTTGATTATATGACATGCTCATCAGATTTAGAGGATCCTTTGCTCGTATTAATTATGCAATGTCCAACATTGTATTTAAAATCGGACATGACTAGTCCGTCAGACCGGTGATCCAACCACATGTTCGACCCGGTTTTCTAATGTGAAATGAATTTATTTGACCCAAGTTGATCGGATGACCCGGGATTAATAAAAATCAACCTGGCTAACTCCATAGGTCAAGCGAGTTTTATATATATATATATATATATATTTTCAAATTCTGATGCATTGGAGGTCAGCATATAAAAAAAATTAAAATAAAAAAACCGCAAAAGCCTAAATCTCTTTCTCTTGTTATCATTTTCAATTCCAAACACTCATTTTTTCTTTAAAAAAAAAAAAAACTCGCTCTCGGATTCATTCTTGCCATTCTTGATTTTCTTCGATCTCCTTCCTTCGCCGTCGAGTCTGCCCAAGTCCACCTTGCTGTCAAGTCTCCTGCCTTATGAACATTGCTCAGGTGGTCGACATTGTTGATTTTGAGAAAATTCAAAAGTTGAGGTGATTGATGTTTTCTGCCCATTGGAAAGCGTAAAAGGACATTGGAAAGTGTAAAAGAATTTCAACCTAGAAACAGATAGGTAGGAAAAATTTACATATCATAAATTTTATACATTTGCATTATTTTTTAAAAAAAAATATTTATTTATTATGTAATAAAAATATATATTATTTTATTATTACCAATTTGATTCTTGTTTGACTCTCAATTAAACCTCTAACCACTGATCTCAACTAGTTCGATGCCCAGCTTAATTTTTAAAACCTTGATGTCCACTGACTTCCCCATAATTGACAGGCATTTTCACAGCTCTCGTTTTGTATCAAACACAAATCTCAAAGGTATCAATATCGTCCATTTGGCCAAAATCAAAGTTTTTCCTTCCCAGCCAAAGCTATGTAACTCGAAAGTTATTCCTATCAAGTAATAAATAGCTTCTCATGTTCAAAACTGTGAAATAAATGAACAGCCCTAGGCCTTAGGGAAAATATGTCATTTCCTTTCCCTGGCTACTGTTGCTCTGAATTCCCAGGAAATTCATGTATGATGCACCAAGTAGAGGTAGAGCTCCCGATTCACAGCTTGAAGGTGAAATGTAATCAAAAGAAGGGGAAAAACATCAACTTACCTACAGATAAATCAAATATCAGCCCAACCAGGATCACAGGGAAAAGAGAATGAACAAATGACCAAAGATACTTGATCAAGAAAATACAAACTTTCTTTCCGATGTTATCAAAAAGAAAAAAGAAAGAAAGAAAAGAAAAGAAAATACAAACTACATCATCACTTACAATAGACAATATGATGAAGACACTTGCATTTTGCAGTTAATTATCTCTATAAGAAGCTTTCAATGTTGAGTTCTACGAAGGAGCATGGATCAGGGATGTCAAAGTTGCTTAGTACCTGAAAGAAAACATAAGAAATTCAGGTGATAATGCGTCTGACTCCAAAGTACATTATCTGATTACTTTGTTCCTGAAAGGATATTCTAGAAGTTTTAGATGCAAATAATGTGCAATGTTGAGGAAAACGTGCCATGTCAAATAGACACATTTATTGCCACGGAGATTCAATTAATTATTGGAAAACTGAAGTATGCATTGCATGCCTCTCCTAATTATTTCCACAATTCCACCCATTAGACAATACCTCTTGCACTGTCAGTTATGGCCGTATTAGCATATTAGACAAACTATAGACAAATGCAAATATAACAAAATACACCCCTACAAACACAGGGATGCAAAACGGACCAATAACTTTCCATATAAAGCCCTGTTCGTGAGTGATGTCGCCTTTTCCTTTCGGTGATTTTTGGCAGCAAAGTTTACAAATTTGCATTTGATATCTTCAATAAAATGCTTCTTGTGGTTCTGAGAAGCACCTAGAAGGACGCTTCTCAGAGCTGTAGGGAGTTGGGACTTTAAACAATAAGGACATTAAAAAAAGAAAAAGAAAACAAAAGAAGAGCATTCAATAACTCCAAAAAATTAAATTATCATCCTTACAAAATTTGAAACCATCCATTAATTTTGCAACATAATTTTTCATTTTAAAGTATCATAATTGCTTATAAGGATATTTACCGAACATTGCTGTAAATATGACTCAATTCATAGCATCTCAAATCATCACCATCATTTTTTATCAAATAGGAGTTTGAATGTTCTTCCACAACAATGTCTTCTGTATCATCGACATTTTAGCAGCTTTTAAAACCCATAACATCATCAAATAGGCCCTAATCAAGCCAACACAATTTTAGTGATCATAACTCAAGTACCTCTGGGTGAACAATGCCAAAAGTGCCAATGTGCTGTCCTTTGTAAATGATTTTAGCTTGCCTACCCGAAAGAAACTCAGGCTCCTTCATTTAGCAGTTATGTCAAGTAATCAGAAGCAGCATAAAACTTTAAGGAAAAAATGTCAGAAGGCAAACACACACACACACAACATCCATGCAATTTATACTTACATCTGACCGCTCAATATAATAACCTGTTCTATCACCTGGTAAAACAAAAGGAACCCCATTCTTTTCCATTACTCTGTCAACCAAGCCATGAATTATCTGCATAGCATTGAAGCAAAATTCAGATGATAATTCAATTTATGCTTCTTATCTCTGGAAGGAATTCATTGTAACAGCAAGGAGCACCAGTATTTATCATCAAATAATCAATAATAAGCTTTATAAGAGGTAGAGCAAGTGAATGAAAAAAAAGTAATTTAAGGACAATTAGGGGAAAAAAAATTAGAACTGTATGTGGTGATTCCTTCATGCTTTTTTTTTTTTAATTACAATTTAGTCAGGTAGAGACAGCTATACATAAAGGCTTCATGCATGATAACTTGTATTCAAAGAACTAAGAACTAAATGAAGTTCCATGACATCAATGCTTATTATACCTCAAATCCTGCATTAGAACCACAGTAAAGCGCAGCCAGTTGACGTTGATTTCTTGCACCAACATCCCTTGTGTCATCCAAGACCACACAATCACCAACTTCAAAAATCTGAACCAATAGATAACAAAAAGATGAATTACAAAACCTTGTTATGATACAGAGGCATTGCTAGCAAATACTTTATAGGAACACCAGACTAAGACAAAAGGTACTTTAGTGCCAATAAACTGATTATCCATTTGGCACAGAACCCACAAGGTAACATTGACACCTTTATTAAAAAACAAGGTGGTTGAAACTCCAACTATATATGCATAATCAGCAATTAAGTTGATATTCTTATGGAAAAAGCTATTTTGACAAAATAAACAACAAAATTAGCTGATTAAGTTAAAAAATCCAACTGGTTAACAGATATAGGCAAGAGTTTAAATAATACCTTTATGGGCTTTGGATGGTCCTTATTGTGAGCCACAGTTTTCAAAATGCCAGGCATAAGACTAGTTCGAACAGCCTGTGAGATCAGGATAACAGATTAACATTTAGAATCTAAAGCCATATAAGAATTGAAGCGTGAAAATAATAGTAATGCAACTTTGAGGGAAGATCGGTGTGATCAACTTTGTGAAGGTCAGGGAACTGCTGGGCCAAAAATGTATACTTGTATGTAAATATGATGTATTCAAACTCAGATGGGTGGCTAAGAAAGGCTTGGCATAAAAAAATAAGGTAAAATAAAATTGCAACCTCAACATCAACTAGTTTCAATATGCTGGTATAATTAATGTATGCAAACCTCAAAATCAGAAGACCTTGGGTTTCCAATGATAACAGCTACTGATCTATCATCTTTACGATTCAGCATGCCAAAATTTTCCTCAGATGAGCAAAGTATAAAAGTCAAGACCTCTGTGAACCCAATCATTGCAACCTACAAAGAAGATTAGGGAATGATGAAACTCAGATAGCCAGAAAAATTTAAATAAATTAAGCCTAATGCATATAATGAAAATGATATACTTTAAAAATTTAATGCATTATTTTATAGATAGGAGTTGCATATATTGTAATGTTGCAAAGCATGAATCTTGAACCATAAGGGTTAAAGTACTTGCATTATACCTCTTTTCTGATAAGATCACTGAGTTCATTTAAAGGAAGTAATGTCAAGGAAGCAGCCAATCTCTTAGAGCCTTTATTATCAGTAATTGCTTTATCCTTAATGGCATTGAATCCATAAGCAATTGCAACATCCTGCAGACAGAAAAATGAAACAAACACATATCAACCTGTCAGCACAAGATGCATCCAACAGTTTTTGACAATTCGAATGGCAACAGTTTAGTGAGCGAGCAAATTCCTGCCAATACCTCCATAACATCACATGGATGAAGAACGTCACTTCTGGTAGGAGGAACGGATACAACGATGTTACACTGCCTATTGTCAGCCACAGATTGTTTGGCATGCAACTGCATTCGGTTTAATAGTCCGGTGACCTGAAGAAAAGGAGAAGCCTTGAGAATCAAGAACAGCAAATTAAACATTATTTAATGCTTTAGTTACTTCAGAAAACATCAGAATGCTGAATCTTGCATTAGATAAGATAAAGTGAGCATGTGTGCTATGTACTTAAGCCAATGGACCATAAAGAAAGTCATGACGTGAACAAGAATTAAATGATAGGCTGAAGTTTATCAACAGCCAATTTGCAGCAGAAACAAGCCACTTAATCTAGATGTTGCTTTGATGTAACTTGATATTAAAGTAATTGGAGTATCAGTACAATCCTCTTCTATGAGGAATGGAAGAGGTCGAGGTGGTCAAAATTTACTAATAATCTGCTACAGTGAATGGACAGACAGGAAAATGCAAGAAAATTGAGAACGGGGAAAATGGCAGAAATAGAAAATAATCCCTGAACTTTCAAGAGGTTCAGGACTCTTCCCAGCCAACGTATCTTTCCTTGCCTTCTCCCTAGGCACAAAATCCTAGGTAACAGCCATTGACCTCTACAGCATGAGTGGGCTTGGGTCCACCTGTAGTCCTTTTACCATCATAATCAGACTTAGACTTGTCCTTATCCAGTATATTGGGCCATTGCCTCTTATAAACTCAGCCCACAAAGCTATTGGGTACATCAGGATTTGTGAATGATTATGAAGAACATTTACAATCTACGTAAGTTACAAGAAATAAATACCTCTTCTATTTCCAATGAAACCCCAATCAGTCCATTTATGTAAGGAAGAGAAACTTCCATGTTGTAGATAGATAAATCAGGATATATGCATGACTTTCCATTAGAAGAAATTACTTCAACTGGTTCGATTACAAACTTCTTCTCACAGTATTCTGAAAAGGCTGTTACCTGAGAAAAAATAGAACATCCTGTCACCATCTACACATTGGAGAAGAGTAAACGTGGGGTTGAATGGAGAAACACAATGAACTACAATTCTCTACCATTGTATTCAAAACAATCTTTGCCTTTGTCAGGTCAGTGGCAGTACATTCAATAAATACGTTCTTTGTCTCCAGAGTGATAGCTGAATGTGCACCATTTATAATTGGGGGTAAAGATAAAACAGTTCTGTCAAAGAAGTACAACATGTCAAAAATTGAGTTGAACATCATAACTTGCGTGAGAATAAGGTCAAGGGCTGCTAGTTATCAGTTCACAAAAATTACAATCTACGGAAAACAGAGAAGAAGTAAAATCAACAACGCTGCTTCTGAAAGTTGACCCAATAAAAATACAAGTGAGCCATAAAGTCATTTAAGGGTACACAAAATTACCTCTTGTCAGTTAAGGATACAAGACTATCTATGATCTTATATTTTACATTTGTTTTGTAATTATTAGACAGTATCTACAAACTTGTATCTACCTATGCTGTAATTAGCATGAAAAAAATCAAACAGAGATCGAAGTCAGCATCCATACAGTGATTCAACAAAAATTAAATGTGAATAGGGCATCCTGGATGCAGACACAAGTTTGCAATAGCTAAACGCATACAGAGCAAAATGTTTTAAAACATTTGTAAGCTATTCGATGATCAGTATGCTACAGAGATATAATACCTCTTAGAGTCATATATAACGGGGAACACTGGCGAGCCCTCAATTATATGCAGGAATTTCTTCAGTTTCAAATCTGACTGTCAAGCATAAACCAGATAAATATTCAGAGATGTCTCTAAAGTCTAAACAACAGTGTTCTATAAAAAGATACTGAACATCAATAAATTATCAACCCATAAATTGAATGAACTCCAAGAAAGTGCACAAAAAGAAACCTGTAGCCAGCTATGCTAAATCTAACAAAGAAATATTTGTAAGAACTCACTTTGTAGAACTCCATAAGCTCATCAGCCCTGAAGTTCTTTTCCTACAGCACCAAAAGGGAAAAGAAGATGAAAGATTAATTTCAAAACAAATATTCAGAGAATAGTTAAAAATATCCTATGAGTATTATGCTACAGGGGACTACTTAAGCTGTATACTTTGCACAAGAAACCAAAATGCCATAATTATTTATTAAAAAACAAAATACCTGCTTTAGTGGCACAAAAAATATACTTGAAGGTGGTAAAGCCTGAAAAAAATATATCAAGTAAGAATTATCAATAATGAAGCCTTGCAGTAAAGCCTGGTGAATACATCAACAGCATCATGCTGCATTTATGATACCAATAAACCCTGAAACACAACAATAAGTAAGAATTCAAAGCATTCGGGCAACAATAAAATGAAACATGGTAGGCCATACAACTCCAATAGTAAGAAATGTGGAATCCTTCAATGCTTCTTTATGAGGATAAAATCTTGAATAGATTGGCTTAAGAATGAACAATACTAGCTGGTCCCAAAAAAAAAAAAAGAATGAACATTACTAGCAACTTCTAACTGGATCTTAACATGAACCCTACCAATCAGCGGTTTCAAACATGGTTTAAGGCCATTTATCATACAAAAGTGCAAGCCACACTAACCAATAAAGAAAGAGATGATTTAATAAAGATTGCAAGAAGATCCGTTTAGTGATAAAAAAGATGCCGAGGCTAGGCAGCAAGTTCCAAGTTCTTTATAAGTAGGCTTCAACTTTCAACATAATCTCCAAGAGTTCTTTCAGATCCAGAATCCCTATTTTGTTTTTCTTAATATCCTCTATATACAATATAAAGAATATTGCTGGTCTACATTTTAGTAGAAACCTCATAAGTAAAAGGGCCTTCCAACTTATCCAGATCATGAGTGCCAATTGCAACAAGAGTTCTTCGCCTGGAAAAAAAAGATGAAGATTAAACATAAAAATAAAGTGTTGTAATGATGCAAAAAAGGCAATGCAGTTTAAAATTATAAAAGCATAATTCAAAAAACCAAAAAGCAAGGCTTCCCCAGTTTTCTTTGAAAGATAATAAAATAAAGAATCTAAAGATTTAAAAATGATAGAGAAAATATCAACCAGTAACCAATCGTGCCCAAAGAATGTTAATAGCAAATAATTGAGTCAAACAACATTACCGGCAAATGTTTTGATGAAGCTTGTCCTGGAGATCAATAAAGCCGTTGTATCTTGCTTTATCAAATGTTACCCCTCTCAATACGGCACAAACAACATATGGACGAATCAAAGATGTCTACAATGAGTAACACAAGAGACACGCCTCAGTTTCCTATCAGTAAATGGCCTAATTAAAAAAAATGCAGGGTAGCATAGTTACCTCTGGCTTAACGTGCATTTTGAGCATTGCAGTTTTACTAACGTCAGCCAAACTATACGTAGGGATTTCCTGTAACCCACAGAACACTCGGAGGGCCTGAGCTAGCCCTTCAAGGCAAAGCAGGTCATATCTGTGCAAGTACAAGCAGCTTAGCTTCGCTCTAGCAATAATTTCCTAAATCATACTTCATTATTTCGCTAAACTCTCAGAAAGTATAAAGATTGCAACCAAAACAAGAAAATCCCAAATTCAATGAGAAACATAAGACATAGCCGCTAAATAAAAACAAGTGGTTCAACCCCAATTGATTCTAGGCAGTATCGAGCCAGGAGACTAGAACTCATTAAGTGAACTTAAAATGGAACTTAAGCTTGCTTGTATACCCGAAAGGAAACTTCATCAACCAACAATAACATTCAACGTATTATGAGGTCATACCAAAGACTCGTTTTTTGGGAAGCAAGGGCTAATTTACACCAGCATTTTGGTTGCATCTGCGCGTACGAAGAAATTAAGGGGGTAAAATTAAATGCAAGGGTACCTGTTGGCGGGAACTTCGATTTTGTAGATAACTTCTTCATCTTCATCAGCTTCTTCTTCCAAGTGCTTTTCTTTTCTGGCAATTGCTTTCTCAGTAGTCTGTCACAATCACATTGTACCGGTCAGATGAATCAAATTTCTATCAAAACTGGAAAGTTTTGGTCAAGGAGCTTACGACGTCGTCAAGCTCGATTCCAAAACTGAAGCACAGGTCTTCGAATTCTTCTTGTGCTGAGAATTAAAAACAACAGCAAGTGTCAGTAATTGTCGTGCATAAGAAATGCTAAATAGATTGAAATGGGCTCACTGTAAGTTCTTCCTAAAGCTGCAAACAGACGATCCCGCCCGACACTGACAGTAGGCATGGTAGTCTCTCGGAGTCGCTACTGCAACCTCCTCGTGCTCAGCGGAGCGGACGGCTTCCGCGCTAGGTTTTAGATTGCCCAAGATGTGGTTTCGCGGCTTCACCCAGTGGCGCCCACAAAACAGCTCGCGAGAGAATTTATTCTCGCTTTTGAAGTTTAATAAGATTTAACATAAAATTTAGCAAGATGCAAAGTTCGAGGTTAGCGTGGAATAATTTTTATTCTTAATTTTTCATCTTTTCTTGCGACATATTCTTTCTTTTTTAATTCCAAATTCCAAATAAGTGTCCTGAGAATCAAGCATCCCTCATTGATACTATTTTATAGAAATTTTAATTAAAAATCTTATTTTTTTTAATTGAAGCTATACCCTGGAAATTTGTATTTATGCACACTTCGAGAAAATAATGATTTAAAATACGAGAATGAAATAACTATTTCGTGAGTGTGTCTGTGTTATCTAAAATGTGTACTACCTATCTTTTCATCAAAAAATGTTGTATGTACTTACCTTTATGTATTTAACTAGTTAATTACTCCATCATTATTTTCTACAATTGTCTAATCTCTTATGAAAATTATCTATCGTGCATACTCATTTAGCTTATTATTCACTTCTGACGAATTTGTTGGCCAATACTTTCATGCTTTTGGTTAAGGTGATCGACCTGCAAGCCTTTCAAATATATGATGAGTTCATGGGTATAAAACTTATGTCCTCTCATGCATTTCTAAGTGTAAATACGAGGACTTGATAAAAATATCCAAAACAAAAACAAAAAGCAAATGGCATTGTCACTAATTGGCATATCAAAAGCATAAGCATGTTGAAATTTCAGAATCTCTCTCAATGTTATATCAAGCGCTTTTAAAGCAACAATTGCTTGTATTACAAATACCTCGTCATATATTATTAATGAAATATGAACTATCAATTATATAAGGTGATTATCTTGTTTTACATTATAAATGAAGAATTCGTTGTTGTATGAGATGTGTAAAATTGAGAGTGGATAATTTTTTGACTAGCAACAATAACAAGGCTATTACACACACTCAAAGCTACAGTTAGAATAATCTTCCCCTCAATCTCAGCAAGGCCAACAAAGTGTTCCAAAATACACACACACTATATATTCTGTCAATGCTACCATAACTATATACAAAGATCAACCTGATAACATCATATTAATGGCACATTTTGAATTGTTAAAAAACTATAAGTCTACCTGTGCTATGCACGAGAAATATTCCATCATATGGGAAAAGTTATTTTAATTTGGAAAATATTAATCTTTTGCATTTTAAAACAAAAGCTAATTAAATTTATTACGAGGCTTCAATCAAATCAATTTACAACATGAGATTAAATGAGTTAAAAGTGGTTGAACAGATCCATGTGTTATAAGATCCATTTGTGAATTTGTTTAAAAATTTAATCTTCTATATATATATATATATATATATATGGTTTAAAAGAATGTATTTGAAGTTACTTGATATTTTGTTTAATCAGAATTTTGGGCTGATAAAACATTCAACATAGCAATTTAGTGTGCTAAAAGTAATGGACATCATCTACACTTAAGCACATTAGTCTATAACATAATATATCAAGAAAGTCAAGCTCCAATGTTAAGACATTTTGCTGAGAAAAATGAAGCAATGTGAAGGAATATTGTACAAAGTTAAAGATTTCGTATTAAGTATCTTTATCCCAATTCTCATCATCAAGTTGCTAAGAATTTTTTAACATGTTGAATGCACTCCTACTTCCAATACATAGCAATAAAAAGAACCTAAATGAGGTTAAAATTTTCATTCAAGAGACAATAACAATAGAACCTAGTAAAATTGTGATTTCATGAATAAGAAAGATATCAACATTTAATTTTTGTACATGATTATGCGGTTCCAAAAATCTAATGATATCATGAGAGACAATTTGTAAATCATTATCATCTTTATTATCAATCTACAAAACCATAATTCCTTTTTAAATCGTTCATGCATGTATTTACTTCTCTTCCATATTGCCTGCATCCAGTAGAGCACACCCAACGGTCTCTTCTGATATCAACAGGAAAACCAACATTTTAAATAAGAAACCTCAGTGATCCAACAAATAATCTTCCTATACATGTCTTAAAAGATTTGCATTCTTTTAAGAATATCAAGCTGCCTACTTGGAGAATTTGATCATCTATGTCATTTCTCTTAAAAATAGGCTCAAACTTATCTTTAAGGCTAATATATATATATATATATATATATATATTCAACCAGTTCCAAAGCTTGCAAGACTATAGTAACTCATCAACATCACAAAATAAATCTTGAGCTTCTTGCGATGTAGAAGAACATACTCAAACTCCTTGACTATCTTTCTTTCTCTTCAAGTTCTTTCACCTATAAAATATAGAATAACAAAATAGCTATGTGAATTTTATAATAATCCATCTACAATTACAAATAAGTAAGTTTGACAATGAAATTACCTTTTTGGATCCCCATGTTCATCATCTTCCTCCTCATCCACAATCAAGATAATAACACAAAAAATAATAAGTTTTGAAGAAACTAAATTTTCCATGTTAACCTGAGAGTTTCTCAACAGAATCAACTAAAAATGCTTTTATTATTTTAATTGGTAAAATAATGGATTCCTTATTCTTTAATATTGAAGAGAAGAAATCAAGATAGCAAAAAAATAAAAAATCATCTAGTAAAATTATCCATGGGGATGAAATCCCAATCTATGTCTGATGGAATAATTCTCTCTTAGAGCGCATAATATCATATAAAACATCAAGTTTAGAGTTTGAAGAATAAGAAATAAGAAATATAAATGTGCATTAGAAGCATTTATTTAGGCTCTTATTTTTAAAACATTGCAGCATAGACAAAGCATGTGTTCACATGAAAGAGAAAAAAAGCAATCAATATTGATTGTACAATAGCTTAGGAAGATTAAAACTTTAGAGGATACTAATTGAAATTTGACCTTGGCCTTCAATCAAGAAATAACCCCAATTATGTCATTCATTTGTGATGTTGGTAAAAAAAAATGTTCTTTGCTAATTTGTTGCTTCAAGCAAAACTTTTTTCTAGCTTTGGTATTTCATAAAAGATTTCTTTTTTAATTACATTTGCAAACAAAAAATGAATTTACAAAAAAAGAGAACAAAAAAACTAGAGGAAAAAGAATTCATAATAAAAGCAATTGAAGCAACAATGGCCAAAGAAGAAATTAAATTCATGCAATCTTCCTTATTACTGAAATTCCAAAGTCATCACACTTGTCTCCACATTTTCCATTATGACAAGCTTATTTCATTGCTATATAATGGCAAACCAAATTAACTAACAATAATCAACCCAATAATGAGATCACATTAATACTCACGTGGACATTTCATAGGCTTTTTATATGCTAATCTCTCCTAATCCTATTTCAAACCCAAAAAAAAAACACCTACACTATATTCATAAAACATAATAAAAGAAGTAAGGAGGGGCACAACCTAATGAAAATGTGCTAAGCAAAATCTTATGAAGGAACCTATGTTCATTCAATCTTTGTTTGGTGTTATGAAATGAAATAATAGCTTGATAAGATCAAGGGACCGATATAAACATGATGCTGAGGTTTAACTCATCTTTTGAGTATCATTAGATAAAGAAAGTTCATATTGCTTTTTGCTCTTGGTGGCAGGCTTAACCAATGAAAGAAGTAAAAAACATAAAATCCAAGACAAAACTAACTAAATCCTCTATCCCTCATTCCCATTTGGCTTCAAAACCTTCTGAAAGAAAGACATATATTAAGAGGATGTCTTGCAAATATTTCTAAGGGGACATTACTCTAAGTGATATTATTGTAATCTATTCAAACAACTTGCCCCCAACCTTGATTGCAAACTCAATTTTACGTTCCTATAAATATATTTACATTAAAATATTTGACAAAGCTTCACAATAAAAAATACTACCGATAATATTTTAAAATTGGGGGAAAGAGAAGTTATTCGTAGGTGTAGATTTGAAATGAGATGAACTGTTGTCATGCAATTTAGATGCTAGAGCAATCTTTCCAACTTATGGTCAAGGATTCATGGATCAATAATAACTAGGCGGGGGGAGCTATAAATTTTGCCAATTTAGCTACTACTTGAAATAAGGAAAAAATTAGCAACATTTCATCCAAGAAGAAAAGAATTTTAAGGAGATTGGAAGGAATTGACAAGAACAAAAGCTACAAAGATAATTACTTCCTTCAAAAATTGGAAAAATCCATTTGGGAAGAATATAACAAAGTTTTTTGGCAAGAAAAGATGATTTGGTTTCAAAAGTCTAGATGTAAATGGCTTAAATGGGGAGATCAAAATATAAAATTTTTTCATACTACTTCTATCATCAGAAAGAAAAGAAACCAGATCATTTCTCTTAAAAATGATAAGGACAATTGGGTGGAAGACCAACATATTCTAAAGAACATGGCTGTTTCTTTCTTTGAATACCTTTTTAAGAAAGACAACAATGACAGACCTAAACTCGCTACAACTACTTGCTTTCCACCTCTTTCTTTTGACTAGCTTCAATCCTTATATAGGGATGTGACTGATGGAGAAATTAAAAATACTGCATTTGATATTGGGGCATTTAAAGCTCCTGAACTTGATGGCATTGATGCAAGATTCATTCACTCTTATTGGAAGGATCTCAAAGACAGCATCTTCAATCTGGTCAAAAAGGCTTTCAGAGAACCAGATTCTATAAAGGAAATTAGTAACACTTTCATTACCTTGATCCCTAAGATTGATCGCATAACTTGTATAAAAAACTTTCGACCTATCTCTCTTTGTAATGTTACCTATAAAATTATCACCAAAATTCTATCCATAAGATTACGTATTTGTATGAACCACTTAATTGGTGATTACCAAAGTAGCTTCATTCAAGAACAGTAGAGTAGTGATAATATTAGTATTGCTCAAGAAGTCATTTATTCTGTGAGGAAAAAAAACAAGAACAAAAGGTTTTATGGCCCTTAAAGTAGATCTTAAAAAAGCTTTCGATGGACTATCATGGAATTTCATTGACGATACTCTTATCTCCATTGG